AGGTAAAAATTTCGTATTGTGGACGCTGCAACAGCTTTTCCTTCACCAAGCAACTTATAAATTTCAAATGCCATTTTGTTAAATGAAAATTTTGAATCCGATTCGGTTCTTTTATTATATAATTTTCTCATATCGTTCCACAACGTTTCGATATCTGGCGAATAAATTTTGTTCGCCGATGGTTTCGTGTTTGACAACTTTCTGGACTTATGGTCTTGGTTAATAGTCCCATTTTGCGGAGTTGATTATTATAAATTATGCCATTGAGCAACAGGCCGAGAACGATACTCCAAAAAAGAATTCGCTTGTGAACGTAAGCATTTTTCGCAACGTTGTTGGTGGAAATTAACATATTTGTTTTATTGCTTTAAATGATGTATTAATTTGACGATATTTATTGCGTTGTGGTTGATTTCTGAAGTTAACCAGTGCTGTTTTTATAATAAACTATCTGTTTGTTCATCATACACTGCGGACAATTATTAGACAAACGCGAATTTTTGCGCATTGATTATCATTGGTCACCTTCTGCATATAGGAAACAATATGAAAAGGTTCCTAGTAACACGTCATTGATTAAGCACTGATCAGCGTTAGTATATTAGATCACATCGCGCAGCACATCTTTCCGCAGAATCAACCATGACAACCATCGAGGAAAAAATAGCTGAAGTTGAAGCGAAGGTGAAAAGGATTGAAGACGAGGTTGGGTTTGACAAGGGAAAGGATCTTCTCGCGCCCTTGTACACTATTCTAGCAGAGCTGCAAAAGCAGCAAACTGCTTCACTTGCTCGGCCAGGTAACGACTTTGTGACTCGGGCGTTGGGATGTAGAGTAGTGTGTACAGGGTAGAGTAGACATAGTAATATGACACCATGGCTATCATGCAAAGGAATCACAGCAGGATGTTTGTGTCCTTTATGTCTCGTTCAATTTTTACCCATACTGAATCGCTTTGGTTTATCAGTAATTCCTGAAAAAATAGATATTAGTGTCTCTTTAAGAAAAGCATTCGATACACCACTTCAGATTTTACCGACAGCAACAAGTTTGAAAGACTTGGCTACTGCACCATTTGACAAAAAGATACCTATTGAAAGTGTTTGCTACAAGAAGTGGAAAAGTATGATTGGTGACACAGTAGATAACTATTTCATAAATGGGGATGCTAATGGAACTAGTGGCTCGAGTCTATCATATAAGTGTCAGTCTGCTTTAGAACAAGATTACTCTGGTTCAGAGAATGTACTATTGAGTAGATATGATCGTTTAGTGCGCGATATTTGGTGTGAATTAAGCAAGGTAAGAAACACAGAAAGCATACATTTAGATAAAGCTTAAAACTAACAACGCCTTAGAATTTACCCTTTTCATTTCTTATGGATCGGAATGTTATGGACTACTCTGGTGCAACAGTCAAGAATACTCGACCCGATGTAATGGCATGGTTAAACGGTGCCTTGATCTTTAAGGCAGAAGAGAAACAATTTGCTGCTGATAAGGCGGTGGCTGAGCAAGAATTGCTAGCTAAGATGGATTTCTGGAACAGGTCGACATATGGTCGCGTACCTTATATTCTTTCTTATGCCGCAGCAGCAAATCTTGTCCAATTTTTTGCAATCACGAGAGACATGAACAGAATCGATGTGTCAGACGTTTACGATTTGCAACGGTTTCCAGGGGAATTTATGGTAAAAGTCTAAAAGACAGTTCTGTATTGTAATAATATATGTAATTATATAATATATGATCGTTTTCTTCTAAAAAAACACAGACTCTAGTCTCGTCATTAAATTTATTCCGAGTAATAGTTACATTTAAAAATTATCTACCTGAGCGATATGCTATGCCAATGTATCAGGAAGTGAGAAGAAAAAACAACACTGTTGTGACCTTGTTATCAGATACTACTGTGTTGAAAGAAATACGTAATTTTGATGAATATATGTAAGATATTATTTACTATGCTATTATCTTTTGTTTTCTGTTGGTGATTAACGTTTAAAATATTAGATATAGTGATTTTGATACCTTAAAAGAAGTCTATGAAAGCATTAACGGTTCAGCCTTCTGCGTATACTCGATTGAAGGCCCAAAATTGGGAAACAAAAAGAAGCGAAAAATATCTGAGACTGGAACTCATTATTCAGTAGTGCTTACGCCAGTGTGCCATCATAGACAACCAAAAAATGAAGATGAACTACGCATTGCAATAACAGCTGTGCTCAAGGGCTTGAACCAACTTCATAGCAGAGGTGTGCTGATTATTTGCTATTTGTGCGATTCTTGCCCTATGTTTTAACATTATTGCATCCATCGAGGTTTAGTCCACCGTGACATTCGGTGGGACAATATCTTAGCATATGACGATCGCTGGGATATATCGAACGAAAAGCAAAAAAAACGCCCGAGTCACGAAGTCGTTACCTGGTTGAATAAGCTCGCGAAGTTTTTTCCCCCACTCGTGCATCTCCCCCTCCAGACGCTCTTCTTTTCTCTCCAAGTTTGCCTGCTCCCCAGTCCACTTGGGTTGGACCGCTCCACTCCTCAGGTCATCCAGTCTTTTCAACTGCGCCTTCACCTCTTCATACTCCTTCCTCGCGTCAGCGTATGCTTGCCCCATGTTTGACTTGTTCGAAAAAGATGTACGCGATGTGATCTAAAATACTAACGGCTTAATCAATGACGTATTACTAGGAACTTTCTAGACCTTTCACAATGTAACTACAGTCATACCTCGTTTATAGAGACGGAGCTTTTTCGGGGATATATTCGAGGTGGGATACAACTGAAGCAGTGCTATTTAAAGCATACAATTTTATTGGTTAACAAATTCTGTTAACAAAGTTTGGCGTCTTTGCACTCTTCGTCTAAATGTATATTACATACATATCTTATATCACTTTCTGTCGTAAATTTTCTTTATTATTATTCTAAAATTTTTTTTGCTAACTCGAAAGCTTCTCTTCCCATTTGTACAGAAACAATTGATTTAATAGACCTTGCGAAGACGCTCTTATGTTTATTTTATGATTTATGTGGCCTGATTCATATTAATATAGCCTGATTTGTACATGATTTGTGGCTGAATTTATTAAAAGTGGTAAATGATTGACAAACTTATATACAGTGAACTCTCGTAAATGCACCGACCTAAATGCACCGACCTCGGGACTTAATGCTAAATGCACACTCTCTATATTCTGCACGTGCAATAGATTTTGCAGTCCCGGCTATGCTGAAATAATCTCTGTAAATGCACACACGTGACTCTGCAGCTAAATATGGTATAGTCAGTCAATACCATCACCAATGAAAATTCGGCGAGTCAAAGCCTTTACCAATAACAAATTATCGGACATAAAATGTAACGAATAAAAAATCTGTGCTATAATTATCCCACTTTACGCAAGCAAATTATTTTCTGGTGTCAAATTATATTCGATGCACGAGAATACAGTTCTGTAGTAACATTGTCTGTTAACATCAGGTGTATTTATTTAGACATCAATAGTCAGAACATTTTAATATCATATTCCGTAATAATTTACGATTGTAACAGTTAGCCTCTATTTAAGCATGCCATCGTGGTCATAGCCATAAAAATTGTTTATAACTAATTGTTAGAGAATTGTACTGAAATTTTACCGTTAATAAAAACAAAATGCTATATCCGATGAACCTTGTAAAGTCTTTGAAAAACTTCATCTTTCTGAGTCAATGAAAGTTAAAGAGTTTTTGTCAATTCCTGAGGAAGACATTGTTATGAAGTGCGTACTGACGATCAACTAATGGCAGAGCTCGTAGACATAATCAAAATAGCAAAGCAGTAATGGTTTGGAATACGTAGATGACAGCACTGAAATAGCAGCTATCAATGCCAGTACGGCATTACAAAACTTGGGAAACCGTACAAGCATTTTTACTACAACAAGAAAATGCACGCAAACACATAAAATGGGCAGATATTCTCGAGATATAATAGAGAGGAAAAAAGCTAATACGATGCGACAATCAAGCATAGATCAATATTTTAACCAATAAATGAATAAAGTATCGGAATCATGTAAATTCACTATACGCACGTGTGCGGCGCATGAAAAAGGGAAAGCTGTAAGCAAAATTATTTACTTATTATTATTGCTCTCACACTTACGGTCCCAAGGGCGTGCATTTAAGGAGAGTTCACTGTAAATAAATATTTGTGTAATACGGAGGGGAAATAAACGAGGTATGACGCAGTAGATAATTATAGAGTATGGGAAACCGGGACCATAGAATTTTGGGGATAGGAGTGGGTTACAAATGAGGTAGATCTATATTGATTTACAATAAGGGAAATTCGTCCAGCTGAAAACTTGGAATACAATGGGAGGAGGTATGACTGTATTGTTTCCCTGCATGCAGAATGTGACCAACGACAATCAATGCGCAGAAATTCGCGTTTTTGTCTAATGATCATCCGCAGCGTATGATGAACAAACGAATATTTTATTATAAAAACAGCACCGGTTAACATACTTCAAAAATTAACCACAACGCAATAAATATCGTTAAAACAATACATCTTAAAACAAATCTGTCAACAACACTACAAAAAATGCTTGCATTCACGAGCGAATTCTTTTTCGGAGTATTTATTGGCTTTGTTCTCGACCTGTTGATAAATGGCATAATTTGCAACAATCACTCTACAGCATGGGACTACTACTACTGACCAAAACTATGAAGTCCAAAAAAATTATCAAAAACGAAGCCATCAGCGAACAAAATTTACTCACCAGATATCGAAGTTGTGGAACGATTTGAGTTAAATCCCAAATTTTTATTTAATAAAATGGCATTCAAAATTTATAAATTGAAGAAAAGGCTGTTGCAGCTCCATTATACAAAATTTTTATTTTCGAAAAACAACTCCGCGGAAAAAGATCATTGAGGTAATCCAACGTTCGATCGACGAAGAGAAGAAAAAAAATGTAAATCACTCAGATGGGAAAAATGAAAACAAAGAAATAAATAATAATAATAACAACAACAACAACAACTACTACTACTACTACTACTACTACTACTACTACTACTACTACTACTATTACTACTACTACTACTACTACTACTACTACTACTACTACTATTATTATGATAGTAACGAAAAATAAAATTAATTTGCCCCAGAGTGACCAAAGAATAAGTTATACTTATCAATGGATTGAGTCCGAGTATTTCCTCCCATGCAATCACTTAGTATATTTATATTTCAAGAGCGCGCGCATTCAATAATCGAAATAATAAAATTTATGCTTACAAAAAAAATTATTATTACATGTTTGACTTTTGATTGTAATTGTGTCAAAGTAGCGAAATATAATCAATGCTCAACGAATGCGCTCGAGCAGTCTTTATCAATAAGGAACGAACTTCCCGTGGACAAGTCGTTCGATCAGTGGAGGCCTTGGCAAGAAGCTTTTACGTAGCAATAGTATTGACATCGATCATCGACGTATTCTCAGTCTAAATTTCTTTTTGTGCTTCGTTTTCCGTAGTAGCATCAGTATTGATATCAATTAATGCTTTCTCAGTTTGAAATGCTTCGAGTGTCATAGTAGGAAACTAAATAACATCTCCGAGTGGACGGTTCTTGTGTAATTTCAACTATCCAAATATTTTCAGGAGTTAATATCTCTGGGAATTCCAGAGTTAACTATTTGAGTAAACAATACAATCAATAAATAATCAATGCTTAATACTATTTGCCTCTGCAAGTCTAATAAGTAAACGAGTTGAAAAAAAATTACTATTGTATTTATTACTCAGTTAATTAAAAGACAACTTATCCGTTTACGGGTTAAATTTATTTTCTCAAGTTTTCTGGTTCATCATGTGTTGGTGTTGGTGTTAATGCTCGCTTAATAGTTATGATTTTTTGTTCTTCTTGGTAAATTTTATAAGTAAATTTTTCCTTATCTAGATATTCCTCAAGAATTTTGGTGTCATTTATTTTAAAAATATACGGAGCAATTTTTTCTCCTTGAGCTTTTTTTAAAATGCTTCTGATAGTCTGTAATTCTTTGGTCGATTTTATGTAAATTAGATTCATATTAATATTTTTTTATAGAGATAATCCTGTATTAATTATGTTGTGATTTATATTTATCACATTCTGGTATGAGAAAGTGAGCATTAAAATTAACAAGTCCATAAGCACCATTAGTGTTAGTACTTTTCAAAACGTCATCAGCACACTGATTGTTTTACAGCCACGCCAGCTCTTATTTCACTTTGTCTGGTTTTGTTGCAGCATGTCTCATATTATTAAACAGTCTTTCCTTGCGCGTAGTTGATGGATATAAGGTATCTTGATAATAACTTAATTATACGTTTAACGTTCTATTATATGAACAATTTACTACAACATAAAAAGGAAAAGTTTTGTTTTAAAATGGAGAACCATCTATAAAAATTAACTATTTTTCAAATTGCTGTATAAAACTGCGTCTCATAGTTACGGGACAATTACAAACGGCGAATGCAAATATTTGTTTGTATATGAAAATAGCGGATATTCTTGTTTTTCTGATACAATAAAGAAATAGATCTCTTGAGAAAAGTCTGCGACTGTTGCTGTTCAAAAAAAAATTTTTAAGAAAGAAATTTTGCTGACTTATAAACCAATTGCAAGATGCTGTATGTATTCAATGTAACAATCGTCAAAAACTCGTGTGAGAAAAACTTATCAACAAATGACCAAGCTCCAGTATAATATCAATCTAATTACCTTGTTTACATTCTTATCAAAAAGCTTGCATTTATATACTAAATATGATATACTGCATATTGACAAAATTGGTATCACGAACGTTGCGGCAGATCTGCTGCTTAAGACATGTTACGCTCCACGTTCTGAGTAGAAATATTAATTTGATCTGCATAAGCATATTTATAAGACGACGTAATAATTTCCATAAAGATAAAGTCATATTATGATAAGTACAAAATAATGAAGAACAACGCTTTTGATAATCCATCACTGAGAATTGGAAAAGCAATCATGTTTGGAAATATGAATGGGGTAACTTGAATTTTTAATACTAAACATTAAATCGCTGTAATTGATTCTCTGTTAATGCATTTCCACATGTAAGCTGTACTCATTAAAGGTTCATATAATCTGTGCTATAAAATTGGGTCATGGCTTATTATTATAGAAAAAACTGGCAGTTAGCATCATTATCATTGATATGGCCTAATTCTTATTCAATATTTACGTCCCAGACATCATAAACACTTGTTTAACTCTAAGGAACGAGGAGTGGCGCTGTTATTAGTTGATTCACATTTCTTAGCATTCTTTCCGACAATGTTTCTAACTGGCGTCGATATGTTCTATTGTAGCGTGCTAATGGGTTAGCTAATTTCAGCATGTGTGAGATTGCCTTTAATGGTAAAAGCGGGGGAGTCGCCAATTGCGTTCGAGTTTCATATTCAGTCAATTACTGTATATCCGGTCTCGGCAAGATCTAGTTTCGTGTCCTCCGATTGACGCATCATATGACTGCTATATGGTTCGTGTGTAACGTACAACTTAACATTCTTACCGAGACGATCGCTACATGTCATTCACGTTTGTTACGATCATCAAATTAGAGTTTCATGTAGTTAGAGATGTTGCAAAATTTCGTTTTTGAAGATCGGCAAGCACCACCACATTCTGCAAGTAAAGTCACGTTTCCAGAAAACTATCCGATGTACTATACTATCACTATGCGCACGTCATAAACACAATGACTATAGTGACAATATGCGAACGTAATGACTATATGCGAACATCATAAATGTCAAAGCTCTTGTAAGATTTCAATCATGTATTTTTAAGTTGCAATATACCATTCAGCTGCTCGACCAAAGAAACTGAAACAGTATTATCGTTGTTGTAAATAATTTGTTTCGTACAAAGACATTTTTGTAGCAAATAATCATGCAAGGTAACTTTAAATTAATTCTTGTTGCGAAAACGCGACGCTATTTTCAACAAAGACTTGATGAATTATTTTTACGGTTCTTACTATACGTTTTGTGCACACAATATGAGACACGGTTTGCAATAAATTGGTTTGTTTTTATAATTTTTATTGCCGTTCGAGTATCAGTTAATCAAGTTTGCTGAACTAAACGCGGAAGAGTATTGGACTTTAACGATTTTGGAATGCTAATTGTTGTTGGATTTGGGCTCATTCTCTTTGTAATACGGGATGCAGCAGGAATTTATCATTATAAGTATCAATGCCAAACAGTTACTGAGTCAAAAATATTGCGTTATTTCATCAACTTGGTTGTGTTTTACATAAGCAAGAATAAATTAATTATAACAAAACGGCTAATTACAATAATAATCCTTTGCATACCATGGTAAATACAGTGACACCCCTTAATGCAACACTTTGGGACCGAGTACTGTGTTATTTATGGAGAGGTTTCCCTATTAGGAAAGACATTTTAACGATTTTAAAAAATTTCTTTTATTATACATTCCAGCCAACTTTAACGTAAAAAGTCTGACATAAATCCCTAATTGTTAATTAAAAATTGTGTTATTATTATGCTACTTTGTTTCATCGAATTTACCCCCCCCTTTTTTTCGCGAATAAATTTCTCTAAAAACTATTCACAGCTTTTAAATAGCTGCCGGCTGAATTAGAAATGTCTTTACATTTTCTAAACTTTTCAGGGTCTCATGATGTTTCATTATTATCATCGTCAGTTTGCATTACATTGCGTTGATTGTTTTTCCACAACCAATAATATTACGAAAATTACGTAAGTTGCGCTTAGGAAAATAAGTCTATTAAGGCGACGAAAAACGGGGGGTTGCATTTATTCATTAAGCCTCCAGAATAACTTGGTGCTTGCACATATTATTATGGGAATTGCGTTCATGGAGGTGTCACTGTATAACGGTTCGCGCGTTTATTGTGTCACTCATATGCGTATGACTGAATATTGGTGAAACGTGACTTTGACGCAGAACAAAATTTGGGGGGGGTGCTTGTCGATCTATCAAAAACGGGAAGTCTTGGCAAAACTTGTGCGATGTTACCAATAAATGGAAATGCGGGTATTTTACGTGATTGGTGTGGCAATGCTACGCTGCAGAATGATGAGACACTTACGTCAACGCTCAACTCTTTGGCCCGTCATGAATCAAAATGAAACGTTGTCAAAGATACATCAATTATCTCATACTCGTTCTAATTAATGGATGTAACACAATTTATTCCGTAGTTTCTGGGAATATTTATCAATTATATAACCATTACTATTATAATTACTATTTACTATACACTTTAGACTTTTCGAGCGATGCAATAACTGCATAATGAACAGCTTGCCGCATTTAAATCCCGAATAACTCAAAAATGTCAGCTTCATTTATTTTGTGCACTCCGATGCAACGATCGTGTTGTTATTCATCATGCTTTAGTCACAAATCCCGGAAGCGTCACAAATCCCGGAAGCGTCACAAATCCCGGAAGCGTCACAAGGCGAACTCTGATTGATTACAAATGCAAATATTCAGTTATTTGTCGTACACGTGACAACAATATGCAAGAACATATGTTTGATGTGACTTACCCTCTCATTTGGTCTTCACAACTCTAAACAACAAACGTTCCCAAAGCGAGGCGTATTGCGTCAGTTTTGTGAATAGTCGACTGCATGGGCAGTGGGAACGATGCATTGAAAACTTGTTATTATTATAATTATTATTGTTATTATTAGGATTACCGAATAGACCCTGGAAATTAATCCTGAATTTAGTCAACTTGTAGTACAGAGAGTGTATCTTCTCCCTGTATGTGACTATAAATAAAAATCAAAGTAGGTATTTTGGTTCCACACGTGTTCATTGCACAATGACAACATATTTGTATGTATAATAAATAGATAGGAACTGGGAGGCTTATCGCTTATCTGAAAACCAAGTTTAGCCACAGCACAAACTTTGTTTTGAGGAGCCAAGCAAAGAACATTAAACAAGCGAAGAAACCACGAGGAAGAAGTCTTTACTTGGTTACACTCATTACCAGAGTTTAGGACGTAAATCATAAGTTTGTCGATCAAAGGACTTGTAAAGAGATATTTATAGTGATATAATCCCAACTTATCGTCTACAAACGTCGTCCTCATTGGATCACGTAGAGATCTGCATAGCCGAAAATAATCCCGTATCATTTTTTTTAATGTATAAATATATTCGATTGTATAACCAAATTTAAGCCTTTTCTATATAAATTGTTCCGCCCATAATTGTTGTTGCTTCTTTACTTTACTTACTATTCCCTTTTGACCTTAATTTAGGAATAGCTGAATTTTTTGACTACGACCTTTTAACTTTCCTCAATAAACCCGGCTATTCCAATCAATGAGCATAGTGGTAACGGGACATTATCAGAACTCGTTTATTCAGAAGGATAAGGCACTTGCTGATATAAAATAGAATTTGGAGTAGCTCCACCTCACTATTAACTACAAAAAACCTTAGACATTGACATTTCCATAGAATACTATTATCTTTGATCATAATGTTTCGCAAAATTTATAGAAAGCTAGTGAACAACGACTCGACAGCGAACAGGGTAAAACTATATAATTATTATTTATGTTTATCATGTATGACTGAAGACAATATTGACAACATTTTTCTCCTTGTTGTAAGTCTATTCCAACCGGCGGAAACAAAAAACAGAAAGTCGCAGGCAGGAAGAAGAAGAAGACCCCCAACAAGAAAAGTCAACCTGAAGTTGCCCCCCTTCCGCCATCGAAAGATATTGTTTATTCTGATGAAGAGTCCCAAGCCGAGACACAATCATCTCAAGCACGATCAACGCAAGCTCCGCAACGACTGGGTGCCAGCCAACGAATAGTGAGGAGAGCTAGATCAGGCAGAAGAAGTGTTCGCCGAGTACCAAGCTTACATCGCGTACGGACTGGCAAAAATGTTAATGTACGGGGTGCGGAAAACCCTCACGATGAGCCTCCTCCTGTTCCTTATGCTTTTCCGTATCAGCCAATTTCTAAACCCGCCAGCCAGCAACCCTCTCAAAGCGGTTATCCATTTATACCAAACAGAGTTTCGTCCCACTTTCTCAATAACCCAGTGGTCGAGAGTACTACGCCTTCACCAACATTGCATGTCTATAAACGACGTAGCGGAGCACGAGGCGATGAAGATGATCAGCCATACAAGAATCCATCAGAATCGACCAGCTCACTGACATTGAGTATCGATTGCGAGTCGATCGATAAAGCTGTACTAGTTGAGCCGCTGCTGGTAAAGAAGATCAGGGATATTGATGTTGGAATAGAACAATTAGAATATAGAGATATGTCGAAAACGAGACCTAGACCTGCTATAAGAGATGTTAACCAAATCTCCTCGAGCGACATATCCACAGCCACAAGAGAATCCTTCTCATCCTCTTCAGTGCAACCGGGTAATTTATCCTTACCCCCAACGCCTCCTCCCGAGTCATCACTTGCCGCCATTGTTATCGATGAATCAAGGGGTCATACTCAATTCGTTCCAGAATCTTTACTATTCGAAAGGCAGTCTATAGCTTCTGTTGGCGGTCCCCCATCTACATCGCCGTTGTCAGAATCCCTTTCCCATGCATGCCCGCTCATATTCGAACCAGACTCTCTGCCACAGCGTCCAACCTGGTGTCAACACTGCATGATAAAGGAGTTTCGGGACAAATTTTCTTCATGGACTTCTGGAAATGAGTTCATGGATGCATTTATACGCCGAACACAGATGCGAGCAAAGAATTCTCACGCGTATGCCGAATGGATTCCGTTTGAAGAGTTTGAAGACGTAAAGTTTATAGGACTTGGTGGATTTGGAACGGTTTATGAAGCGGTATGGAAAACTGGGCCCAAGTGGACTTGGGTTGTGGAAAATATAGAGGTGGATGGACGTGCGATGATGAGGGCTCGGTGGAAACGAATGGGTCCGCGAAAAGTTATCCTAAAACATTTAAATTGTTCCAGGGACATTGGTCAGAAATCGCTTAACGAGGTTAGTATTTGGGGTCTGTTATTGGTAATAGTTTTGTATGCCATTCTCATCCATTGCATCTATTTTTATATATGTGTATAGCTTTTTATGTACTTCCGTTCACTCGCACCTCATCCACAACTGCTCCACTGCTTTGGCGTAACAAGACCGTTAACTAGTACCGATTACATGTTTGTTCTCGACTATGCGGACATTGGAAATTTAAGACAATGTCTAAGTAAATCGCACGCCCAGCTTGCTTGGCCAGATCGTTTATTAATGTTGATAGAAATTGCAACGGCATTGGAGGCCATGCATTCTTGTGGGATTGTTCATAGAGACTTGCATTCTGGCAATATCTTGTTGATGGATTCAAATGGCAGCGTGCGCGTATGCGTGTCAGATATAGGATTATGCATGTTGATAAAGAATACAAAGAAATGTGGGGAGAAACAAGACGAGGAGGACGGTAATGAAGATTCCGACGTTATTGGTGTAATGCCATACCTGGCTCCTGATATTCTTTGCGGGGGTTCATGCGACGCTGCTGCCGATATGTACAGTTATGGTGTGGTTATGTGGGAATTTGCAACTGGAGAACTTCCTTTTGCAGACATTCCACACGATATAATGCTCGCTAAAAGAATTACCGAGGGTCTTCGACCAGAAATTGACGACCACGTTCCTGCTTGCTATGCAGAATTGATGGCAGAATGTTGGAACGATGATCCAGAAAAAAGACCTACGGCAAAGAAGATAATTGAAATATTGAAATCGTGGCGTGCGATAATATTAGAAGGAGACAACACGAACGTAAAGAGTATGAAGAGAATTAAACTCAGGGAGACGATTTTGAGCCAGTTTATGAAGGCTGACCTGCAAAGAATTGAATTGTTGGAGAATGCAGAAGAGGATAAAAAAGACTTTATACACCCAGACGCAATATACGTGTCGAGGAAGTTTGAGTTTCACAAATCGCCCGAATTCTTTATGTAGAATGAAGAGTCACAGAGAATTTGCAATATGAAGACCTAAACTTTCTTTGGTCACCAGTTAACGTCATGTTTTTTTTATTCAGATAAGTTCCATTTGAACATTGTAATATAATATTATTCAGTATTACGTTTGTAGGATCACTTATCTTGTATGTATATATATACTAAGTTTTGTTTAATTTGAAACCTTTACTGTGGTAGTGAAGCGAAAAAATTGTTAATGTATTCGATGATATTGGAATATAAATATATCGTGATCAATGATAGATAACGTGACGTGTCAAGTGGGTAGCGCGTGAGCAGGTTTAAATGCGTCAGCATGCATAACTCCAAGTCACTTGCATTTGTTGTCATGTTGTTAGTTAGCCTACTTGCGGATTGAGAAACGTAAACTATTTTGGTGTTTTCTACAATGATCATATTACTCGCACCAAATGTAATAGTTGTTTCTAGTGTCTTTGCCTTACGCCTATGGAAGTAAACAAACCCTCGCTTTAGCGATCGGGTATTGTTCCGAGTCATTGATTGATGCTATTTTTATGATGAAGCAAACGGGTCGAGGGCTGATGATTAATAGTTATTGCAAGTGTAACCGAGCTAATCCCTGATGGTAAATGTTAAGGTCAATATGACATCACACTCAGTAATTCTCATTCAAATGAATTACAAATTATCCAATCATCTGTGTCAGGCCAACCATTATTAAAGATTTGATAAGGGTCCGTCTAAATATGTGGGGCTTAGCGAGTAAATTATACAATACATACATTATTAATTTTCAAGTCGTATAGAAGCTAACATTAGGTCACCCAATCAATGTCAGATATGCTCTTTCCCTTAACCTTTCAACGAGACGCCATCATGCATGAAAGAGAGCAGATGAGATCAGCTTATCGTGTGGGAAATCATGGGACAATGCGGTAATGAGAGGGTAGGCAATGCGAAATAGTATTTAAACAATGGCAGAGAGCCCTGGGAAAAAGGGAAGAGAAAGCAAAGAGAAAGTATCCTCAAAGACTCGACTATCAACCACCATAGACAACATACACAACATACAGAAACATAGATAGATCATATATATAATTAAACCAATCTAAACTGTATTCTGAATATTTAATCAAGTCCGCTTTGCTATATCCTATACAATATAATACATAAACTCGCACATAAAGGCTCCCGGCATATACGACCATATTCACACCATGGACACGCAATTCTTTGTATCCGCACCGCCTCCGACGGATTATATACAATCTTCTCATCACATGTTCTTCTCTTATCTTCCAGAGAATGTATCTTTCCAGTCGGGCTATCTTGGTATAACACGCACGACTGTTTCAGGCACGCTTCACGTTCGGTTCCCGAAATCAATAGAAGCGAAATCGATCAGTTTGAAATTTGTCGGCAGAGAAGTAGTCGAAATGTCAGACATGAAAAAGGCACGCGGGGAAAAGATTATACTAGATAAATCTACATATCTGTGGCGATCAGATAGTGGTGTTGGACATCAATTAATCACAGATTTGGATCTCCCGTTTGAATTTGCCGTGCCAAACGATGCGGTCGAGAGCTTTAACGGAAGATTTGGCAGCGTGACGTATACACTACAAGCAACAGTGAACACCAAACCGAAAAAACATAATACATATTGCGAAGTAATAGTACCACTGTGGAGATGGACGAGACCGACCGAAGACGATTTGCGTCCGCTGGTCATAAAGTCTTCGCCAAAAAAGGCAAGAAAGGTGCCTCTTTCATGGCAGGCTATATTACCACAAACGTTTTTCGATATCAATTCAGAGATATTAGCCAGACTGCGATTCGTAGCCCACATTCCTTCACTGAGAATACGCAAGATCACTGCCGCACTCAAAACGGTTACTTCTTATGCTCTCGAAGATCGGTCTGTGATGCCAGTCCAAAAGTCAAAACAGCAGGCCAAGCACATAATATACGGAGATGAAATACTGACAACTTCCATGGGGCAAGAGACGGTATTTGAAGCTAGCGTTGGGGTAAAGATACCTGCTTCCGTTCTGCCCACAATCAAGACCAAATTTATCACAGTGACGAATCAGCTGCAGATTAAAGTAATGTTTGAGAGATCCAAGCATCATGTGCTCATTGTAAAGGACATTTTTATCGGGCGTAGATGGATGGGAGACAGCGAGCTTGAAAGATTGGATAATGACTTCAAGGAAGGCGAAGAGGACGAATCGTAGGCGATGGGAAATGATGAAGGATATATACAGATTACATAGCAAACGAAAGTATATAATTAATTAAATAGTTCTTTTTTCTTTCAATTCAATGTTATATCGTTATCATTATTATATTATTATTATATTATTATTATATTATTTATTGTTTATTCAGACTTATTAATTATTGTATTCATAGTAAGTACTATACCACGTTTATATTTCATGCAAATGTATCTTTATGTATTGTATATTATTATAGCAAAGTCACATTTGTTAAATACAGATTGCACAGCGTATCAGTAAAAAACTTGTGTGTACTTGCGTCGCTCTTTGATAAGTGGGTTTCCAACGGCGTATCAAGTTGGACGTCTCATCAACGCATTTCTGTTTTGCTTGAATATCGTACCTCGGAGCTCGCATTGTCAAAGACATTCTTTTGATTACGCAGGTTCATAAATAATATTTCAAAGACATGATAGAATTGTAGGTTGAAAAATCTCGGATTTAATGAACATTCGGTTGTGTGTTAAGACTACTAATACTAATACTAATCCAACTCTGAAAAGTCCAAGGTGATGCAACCAACATTTCTGTATCGAGGTAAAATCGCTTAATTGACCGTACAATTACTACACCTACAACTACTTGTTCACCCTATTCGAAATACTTTTCCTCCATTATTGATAATGGTCTGTCTATTATTCTAGTGATAATCGAATATGATTAACTAAAGTTCATCTTTAATGTGTTTGGAAGGCTCATCATCATCATCTAATTCAAACTCCTCGTCTTTTGACAGTTCTTCCAACTTCTTTTTTTCTTCTTCATCCAATTCAGGGGCTGGTTCCTCGTTAACGGTGGCCTTTGCCTCAACGTCGATATCCAAGTTTTGGCGTAATACTTTCTCAACCCGGGATGCATATCTTTAAAAGCGATAATGATGATTAAACATTAAACTTTATCTTTGAATCCAGCATAAACTTATTATACGCCAAACTTACTTTATATTATCTTTCAATTGATACCCAGACCTGATAAGGTTTGTCTCATACAGGACGTGAACCAGTTCTTTGGTTTCATCATCAAACCCAGATTTAGCTTTCTCCAACAAACCCAAAATCAATGGATGATTTGGATTGATCTCTAAAATTTTCTTTTGATTTGCATAAAATTTGGCCATGAACTCGTCTTCTTGTCTGTATGCTTGGGCTTTTTTGGAAAAAGAAAAAAAGAGGAGAAAGCGTCAGTATTATGGTGAATAATTCGTACTAGTTATTGAGCAAAAGACTTACCAGACATGATTCTGTGCATGTTACCCGTCCATCCATATTCGTGTGCAATGACTGCACATGGAGATACCGTTAACCGGTTAGAGACATCGACTAGAAATTGATAAATATAAAATTACATTTGAATAAAATCGTTGCGAGAACATATGAATGGTAGATAGATGTAAGCAAACCAAAAGACAATGCCTTTTTTACCTTGATCAACGTATTCCGATAACGTGCTCTTTAGTTCATCCACCAATACGGAGAACTTTTCCTTTAATAATTCCTTTTCTTTTTTTGTATCCTCGGTTTCATCACCAAACGTCAAATCGCCTTTTGCAATATTTCGGAAAACCTTCCCTTCATACGCAGGCATGTGCTGTACTAATATCTCATCTATTGGCTCGTTCATGTACAATACTTCATACCCCCTGGCAAGCAGTCTTTCCAAGAACGGACTCTGTTCACACTCTTCGATGGTCGTACATGTCACAAAATAGATAGACTCTTGTCCCTTCTTCGATCTTCCAATGTAATCATCCAGAGATGTCACGTTAACATTTTCCGCTGAAGTAGGAAATCTCAAAAGTTTGGCGACCTTCTTTCTATTTCTATTATCTTCGATAGCGCCAAGTTTGAGATTTGTCCCGAATTCTTTCATTAAAATGGCATATTTTTCTTCATCCCGTGACAGGTTGGCAATTAGTTCGAGTATTTTCTTGATGAGTCGCCTTTTTATCAATTGAAGTGTCTTGTGTTGTTGGAGCGTTTCGCGAGATACATTAAGAGGAATGTCATCGGCGTCGATGATGGCACGAATAAATTGGAGATACTTTGGGACAAAATCGAGAAACTCGTCGGTGATAAAAACTCGCTTGACAAACAACTTGATATTCCGAGAGTAGTCTTGAACTTTCTTGAACATGTCCGCTGGCGCTTTCTTTGGAATATAAACAATCGAACGGAAGTCTACCTCACCTTCAGCCTATGAGATAAAGTAGATAATTAGCAACACTACATCACACATTGCATTATATGAAAATTCGAAAAAAAAAATAAAAATTTTTTTTACCTTAAAATGAATCCATGATAGGGGTGGTGAACCTTCATTTTTAACAAGAGAGTAGTAAAATTCTTCGTATTCTTTATCGGTAACGTTCTTGGGATCTCGAGTCCAGATAGGCTTCTGAGTATTCATTTGTTCCCATTCTTCGACCAAAATTTCCTTTGTCTTCTTCTTTGGTTTACTTTCTGTCTTCTCCGTCACATCTTCGACCTCGAGGTCCCCGTCATCTTCGCTTTCCTCTGTCTTTTTAGCGGATTCATCCTCCGTGTCTGCAGGTCTATCCTCTGTATCCGCAGGTTTATCCTCTGTATCCGCAGGTTTATCCTCCGTGTCCGCAGGTTTATCCTCTGTATCCGCAGGTTTATCCTCTGTATCCGCAGGTTTGTCATCTTCCTCATCATCAACTTCTACAACTTCTGTTCGGTGGACACTCAAATAAATTGGAAAGTTTATAAACTCGGAATATTTTTTGATCAAATTTTGTAACCGCTTCTCATCCAAATACTCGAGGCCATCCTCTTTAAGATATAACTGAATCTCTGTGCCTCTTCCAAGTGTATTTCCCCTTGGATCTTCTGCAATAGAAAAATCATTCACTGCTGTACTCTCCCAAATGTATTGCTTGTCATCATTATGCTTGCTCGCAACAACGACTCGATCAGCTACTAAGAATACAGAATAAAAGCCGACACCGAATTGGCCGATCAAGCTCATATCTGCTTTTCCTTTTTCCATCGCGTCTAGAAACTCTGATGTACCCGATTTAGCTATAGTCCCGAGGTTTTCCTTTAGATGTTTCTTTGTCATCCCGATCCCCGAATCCCGAATAATTAGGATACGATTAGTTGGGTCGGCTTTTACTGTTATGTTCAAGTTTGGATTTGCCGAAAGTGCATTAGGATCAGTGAGCGACAGGAAGCGAATTTTGTCGATCGCATCGGAGGCTAGATTAAGTAAACGAGAGACAGAACAAAAAATCAGTGAATGTAAATCAAGAATACTCTACAATAAAGCAGAATGCGAATTTTTTTGGTAAATTTCAGTACCGTTAGATATTAATTCACGAAGAAATATTTCCCGCGTTTTATACAGAGAATTTATTATAATCTTCATCAATCTACTCACTTCTGTCTGCAGTATATGGTTTAAGCACATAAAAACTATAAATTATTACGTATTTTAAAAATTGCGCGCGTTTTCTGTTCGTAAGTAAACAACAACAAAAAATTCCAGCCGTAATATGGCACCTGAAATTCATAAGTCTCTTTTTCCGTTGCTTTCAAGTTGTCGGCTGAACCATCCTGTACTTTCAGCGGATCTTCATCGGCGTTAACGAATATCAAGCAAATCGTGAATATTGCAACAGCAAAAAGAAACCACAGTCTTCGATTCATTGCGATGAAATGGGTCCACCTAACAAATACGATAAAAAATTGTCATAATGCCCTGGGCCTTGATGTGTATATATATAATACCTCAGAAAATATTAACCAGTAACAGTTTGCCACGACTGCACCCCTATGATCTGCATTTCTATGCATTTCTATGGTGTGCAACCCTTCGGATATAAGAAAGATAGCCTATAAGAGCTGGTCGCGATTTTACTATGATAAATCTCTCGATATTAATTATAATAATAATAGAGATCTTATAAGAAATCATAGGAAGATAATACCGAAATTTCCTATTTTGGTATGTTGAGAGACCTCCTCTGCATAAGCGATCCTTCTTGCATTCTAAAAAAAAAACATTCTGTGGGCTAATTGCAATATATTAAATAACATTATTTACTGGAAGACTTGAGCAACCAGCGTACTTCGAACAGAAAGAGAAAAAACGGGTAGACTTATTGAAAGGGCCAAACGAACCACGGCATCATTGTTAATTAATATCTTAGTAACTATCGAAGAAAAGGCTTAACAAACGAAGTTTCGAGATTAGTAACAACACTTTCGCATTAACAGCGCGGACACAATAGACCTTGCTGGCAAACTTGGTTTAACAATTAACAGAACGAAGAATAAAGTCAATTTCAATGTCCATATATTCGCAATCACATGTAAAATTTGTTTTATGACAACGTTTACTGACCGCATACGTAAACTTGTTTGAAATGTGCTTTGCTACGATAATTTATGGTGTGAATTTGACAACTCTAATACTAAGATAATTCCGATTCCTTTAGTACCAAAATTTTCACAATATCGCTCAGTTGTTTTTCCTGAAAGTTTCTTAATCGATCCAACAATCACATTACGCGCTTGACCAAATTGTACTTGTAACTGCAACATCTACAAGTCAGTCCTTTAACCGTGTTACCTTACTATTACGTACAAGCACATGCCGGTAGATGCATTACGTAAACGCTCCGAATTTTAACTAATCAGTGCGCGTTTACACACATTCGCGTTCGAACAGTAAGAATTGTATACACATATCCATGGATGCGCTTAAAGAATTAGAGGATACTTTAGAGAAAACGAAAGTGAGTTGCAGGCACATCGTGTTGATATGTGACTTGCTTTTGAGGTTATTCTAAAAAAGAAAACACCTATTATTACAGGTCAACGTGTATGAGACTATATTAAGGTAACTTACAAGCCTAAGCAACCTTCCTTGTGTTTATCAAACATTTTCAGCCCGACATTACATTTATTTTTATTTATAGTGATTTTAGTGTTGTAGACTTACAAGAAACTGTAAGCCCAGCACTAGAAAAACTTAGGGCACAGCTGACTGAATTACAGGCAATGCATCAACCGAACTTGTTCTGCGGTTCGACTTGTTTGCAAAAACTAAACACAGTTCGTCACATACCTTAGGAAGATGAATGCGTCTCGAATTCAAAAACAGATAAAAAACTATTTCAGAGGCGAATCGATGCTGCCGACCTTACATTATCGATGCTGTTGAACTTGGTGAAGGTGCGGGAATTATGATAGGCAAACAAAGAAGGAACACTGTTACTCATTTACGTATGATTTTAGCTTCATGCTTATCTCGAAGAATATCAGAATCTTATCGATACCGGCGAATTTGGCATTGCCGCAAGTTCACTCAAAGAAATGGTTGATTACAATTTTAGTGGCGATTTTCTATGGGTTAGCAGATATAACATGGTCCTAACCTTAAGTTAAACTTTAGCGTGAGATGCTTGATAACTTATCGTTGGAAGGCGAATATGGCTGCGATCTTTCAATATATGTACAAATAAAGGTACGTCTATGACGTGTTAATAAATCGCGTATTCAGCCACTTGTTAACTGTTGTCATACGCTATTTGAGCAGGATTCCTTCTTGAAGAAGCGTAGCGTACTCACCCATTATATAGACGAATTATTTTCAGCTTCACTGTCTATTGCAAACGATAACAATTCTGCTGAAATTAGAGTCGCATTCAACGTCAAAGGTTGGCTATTCGTTGAATTCACTTGCCGTGATGCCTGTCTATCTGCTAACACTCTTTAAACACATCAGCTTCTTGTGTACGAAGTTCAACGGAAACGTCTGTACCGATCTCTAATATTCTATCCACTTTGTCGTCAATGGGATGTCTGAAGGCCAAACTGAAGGGATTTTCGAATAAGCTCCTAGAATATGTAGTGGCGCCAATCATGAGCGAAACAGGCTGCGAAATTAAAGTTTCGAAAAACGGCAACAGCGCTATGCTTTCGTGCAATAAATGCCCCAAACCTTCGGAAACAGTAACTTTGGGTAAAATCGTTAAACACGTACCGTATGATTAATTTTTTACTTTAAAATCATCAATATCAATGTTTTACATATTAGGTCTTTCACAGGTTTTCACAAATATGCTGATACTTGCTCGATTCTTGAATGAATATGTCTTCAGCAAAAGTACCGCTGCGTCTGCAAACGGGGCTTCCATTATAACTGTGTTTGGGGAGATATGGTGGCATGATATGTGGAAGCATCTGGCGAATTGCTTTCGAGTTTTCATACCGAATGACAAAGTACGTTCGAGTGAATATGATGAGATTGCAATGGCAGCGGTATCATTTGAAAGAGAGATGATGGCGATAGGATTGATCCCATCAGATTGTTACGCGATAAGTCAGTTTGCGCAAAATTTTCAATTTGAATTTGTAAAGAAAAGACATGCGGATATTTTGGCAATAGCAAGGGAAATTTTGGTTAGTCAAGATATGAATACTGCCGAAGTGACTAACGCGACTGAACGAGGTAAGAAGTTGTTAAATAACCACAATATTTTATTCAAGAAAATCGAGCATACAATCACAAAGTGTGGACGTTCTGATAGGCGGCTTAGGTATTGCGAGTGAGACCAAAGATAATAATGACAAAGAGAATTTTAACGGCGAAAAGGATTGTAATGGAAAAACCAAATCATCAACGTGCGAGGGTTTACTGCACCTACCAACATGCCATATTAGCATACAAGCACAGACATTAGTGGAATTAGTTTATCAAACTTTAACCGAAGCAACAACAGCCAAGGATAACGCGTTAGTAAGCTCGTCCTTCAAATATTCAAATTCAGTTTGGTTAATGTCTCCAATTTAACTTTATTTGTAGTTCTGCAGAGCTATACTGCTGTGCAAGGGATATAATCGATCTTTTTCGTGCCGTTGTTCCCATTCACCAAGCGGAAGTGTTAGAGACAGATCCTACGCGTACTGCTATCTTTTATAACGATTGTATTTACATTAGTTACCACATGTTAACACTCGGATATCAGTTCCAAAAGGGGCTTCCAGCATCATTACAGAAGTCTGCTACTTTTGTTGATTTAATACCGCACTTTCAAAAGTTAGGGGAGAAGTATTTTAAGCATCAGATGGTACTATTTCTATATGCTTTCTTAAGGTGAATCAACAACGTGTAACTCAATTTTATTCATGTCGCAGAGACGGCAACGAGACCTATTGTTGCATACGTTAAAAGGAGCTGAAGGATTCTACAATCTAGGTGATGATAAGAGATTCGAAAAGGTTGAAAAAACCATCAGACAATGCTATTACCAACTAAATCACTTGTCAAGGTCGTGGAAGGTATTTTTTTTGTAGATATTTACGTGATTTGACAGAACCTGCACTGACAAAATTTCCTGCAAATATCAAAAGCAAATATTGCCAACAGAATTGTGTTGCAAATCTCTGGGCATACTTGTTGATACACTTCTTGGGAATATCATTGGAGAGGTGGAAAATTTAAAGTTAATAGCACCGAATGAAACATATCGGCTTAAATACTTGTTGTCCTTGATGTCTCAGGCAGAATCATGGTTTGAGATTGTCAAGATCAAAGGCGGATTATCACGTAAAAAGATTACAGAACAGGTAAAGACTTTGACCGGGTTTCTGCTATTATTTAATCAGAGTGATAGCTAATATTTCTTAAATTGTGAAGCTTCCAATACACAAATATGTTTCTTGTTGGAACAAGTATTGGCAGTTGTCATACATCCTTGGACTCGATCTTCCTGAATTGTCGGAAAATTTGCAAAAAACATCGGAATTCAAAGAGTTTACAACAAAAGAAATACAAAATTTAGTCGAGGCATTGTTTGTTGACTCGTCCGATAGAAAAAGATTGATATCAACGCTAAGATAATCAAGCAGAAAAGTGACGTCACCACAAAAATTTACCTGTCACAAATTAAAATTTTTTTCTTACAATTTACTCTCATCTTTGATCCATTGAAAAAATCAACAATGACTATTCTGCGAATACGTTCCAAAGCTGTTGCGCCACTCAGTAATGCTATATTTATAACGAAACATTTTTCACAGCAGAGACTCGCATCTTTACCGCTACGTTCGTTAATTGGCCGGCGATGGTATGCTACAGAGTCAACTGCTACTGGAATGCAAATTGATCCAGCGGAATTGGTGCGTGATCTAGTGAAGTAAAAGGATGTGTGATTATAATATTGTTATAGTGTGATGTGAGATTATGTTTCAATCTAATTAATATTCATCCTAAATGCACACGATTATGATTTTATGTGCTTTGAACTTTAATGCGTGTATAATGGTAATATAGAAACGGCTTGAACGTCTTCGTAATATCGGCATTAGCGCACATATTGATTCCGGAAAGACGACCTTGACTGAACGCGTGCTCTACTATACTGGACGAATCAAGTACGAAAACACAATAATTGAAACCATTATTACAATCTGCATGCTGTATGCGCTGATCACAGCTTGTTATGCTTGCTTGTAATTTTATATTTTCTCTCGTCGTAACTCTGGCAGAGCAATTCATGAAGTACGCGGTAAAGACGGTGAAGGAGCTAAAATGGACAGTATGGATCTGGAACGTGAGCGCGGGATTACCATACAATCGGCGGCTACATATTGTAAATGGAAATGGGGTGACAAAGGGGACTATAATATCAATATAATTGATACGCCAGGTGAGTATGTTGCTAGATTTTAATAATTATTACAAATTTTCCTTGATTTAACGCGTCATTTGATTGCAGGACACGTTGATTTCACGATTGAGGTCGAGAGAGCGCTGAGGGTTCTTGATGCTGCTATACTGGTATTATGCGGAGTATCTGGGGTCCAGGTAATAATTTGAGTCAAGTTGATTTAGAGGATATTATCAATCAAGCACTAATGTTTGATTGTCAATAGAGTCAAACTATTACAGTTGACCGGCAAATGCGTAGATATAACGTACCACGCATATCATTCATTAACAAACTTGATAGGTAAGGAAAATCTATTATTCTATTGTACCAAGAAATTTTAATTTATCTATTAGTGACGCATCAATCTTTGGTTCGATGATAGAGTCGGTGCAAATCCTTTCCACGTAATAGACCAATTACGACAGAAATTACGTATAGCAGCTGCGCCAGTACAAATACCCATTGGCACGGAACATGACTTTGAAGGAGTCGTCGATTTGCTAAAATGGAAAGCTATCTATAACGAAGGAAATCGAGGGTAAGCGAACCCAATCGCGTAAGAACGTTGTAATTATTCGGTTTTAGCTAAATCGCTTATATATTTACGCGTTTACAGCGAAACCGTTGTTGAAAAAGATATTCCTGAGCATTTGATTCCGTTAGCAACCGAGAAACGGCAAGAGTTGGTAGAATCCTTAGCTGATGTTGATGAAGAAATTGCCGAACTGTTCCTCGCTGAAGAAAAACCAACTTCAGAACAATTGATGGTGCGCAACTGAAATTCCCATGCATAAACTGACTTACTGTTAAGAGACCATTAACACGTACGTGCATCGCCTATCCTCTATGCTAACAATATTATTTCATAATATCCCGGCTTTTATAATCACTCCTTCATACGACTGGAGGTCTATAGGTCGCAATACGACGCGCCACCATAGCAAACAAATTTACGCCTGTATTCATGGGTTCAGCAGTAAAAAATGCAGGAGTACAATGCGTTCTTGACGGAGTATGCGCGTATCTCCCAAACCCATCAGAAGTAAGCAACACGGCACTCGACATTCGAAATAACGAAGTGCCAGTAGATTTGCTTCCGTATTCGAAAAGTCCATTCGTTGGTCTTGCCTTTAAACTAGAAGAAGGAAAGTATGGGCAGTTAACTTATGTCCGCGTGTATCAGGGAACATTGAAGAGAGGATCCTTCATTGTCAATACACGAACGACAAAGAGGGTTAAAGTTCCTCGTTTGGTGCGAATGCACTCTAATGAGATGGAGGTAATTGGACATAAATAGGTTTCTATTTCGGATTGGTGTTTTGAGAAGCGTGCGCATTGCTACTGCTTGATGTGATGGAATACGATGAGATGGGAAAATGTTTTATACTGCGTACAAGGAATACAGACTCAAATCTGGTCAAACTAAACGTTTCCCATTACAGGATGTTGATGAAGTGGGTTCAGGAGAAATTTGTGCTCTATTTGGAATCGAATGTGCTTCTGGGGATACGTTTACTGATGGATCAATTGCGTACGCCATGGTGAGTATCGTACCAAAGTCATGACCTGTCCCGAAAAAAAATTAATGTATTTCGGTTGCAATCGCGATTCCACATAAAATCAATTCGAACGATACTCTTTTTAAATAATAGACATCAATGTTTGTGCCGGAACCGGTGATCTCCCTCTCTATAGCCCCCAAAACTAAAGAATCTGCCAACTTTTCCAAAGCGCTCAACCGTTTCCAAAGAGAGGACCCCACATTTCGCGTATCCATTGATTCCGAAAGCAAAGAAACGATCATCTCTGGTATGGGTGAGCTTCACCTTGATATCTACGTCGAACGCATGAGGCGAGAATATAACATCGACTGCGTAACTGGAAAACCTCAAGTTGCATTCCGTGAAACTATAACTAAGCCGGCTAAGTTCGAGTATACACACAAGAAGCAGACAGGAGGTGCTGGTCAATATGGCAAAGTTGTTGGACGTATAGAACCATTACCCAAACCGGCAGAGGGGGAGGAACCGTTACCTGACTTTGAAAGTCGAGTCGTCGGAGGAAACATACCTGCTCAGTACATTCCCGCTGTTGAGAAGGTGAGAATGTCGAGATTATTGAACATTGCCGGTTGCGATAAAGACAAATGCTTAGCGATGGTGGATTGTTTAGTCTTTTATCTTGTCCACTAATGCATCTTTTATCATAGGGCTTTAGAGACGGATTAGATAAAGGAACCCTAATAGGCCATCCGATGACTGGCATACGCTACATTCTTGAAGATGGAACCCATCATCCAGTTGACTCTTCCGAACTTGCGTTCAGACTTGCTGGATTTTATGCGTTCCGAGAGGCATTCGAAAAGGCCAGGCCGACTATTCTTGAACCGGTTATGAATGTACAAGTGACATCTCCGATTGAATTCCAAGGAGCTGTAATCGGTAGCTTGAACAAACGAAAGGGCACTATTTTGGATACTGAAATCCATGAGGATTATTTTATTGTTAATGCTGATGTTACATTGAACAACATGTTTGGATATGCTTCTGAATTACGAGGAGCAACGGAGGTGAATATTTATTCTCATTATGGTCTTTTTTGTTTCTTAAACTAACTTGCAATTGACGTTCTTTATTAATGTGCTGAACAGGGTAAAGGCGAATTCACGATGGAGTATAAAACCCATCTGCCTGTGACATCAGATCTTCAGACAGAATTGGTTGCTGAATACAGAAAAAAGAAGGCAGGAGAGAAGTCATAATACATTGATAATATTTTATTCACTCAATCAATGGACTGTATAGATAATAAATAGAATCGACTTGTTACCAAGACAGTTTCATGTCATGAGAGAGGATCTTGTGAATTGTATTATTAAAAAAATGCTTGGTTTCAAATACTAAAGTAGAAACCCGTGCGTGGGTCGAAATGAATATATTCTATCGATCATCCGTCGCGTGAGATACGAAGTCATTCGACTACGTCATCGCGATGTCTGAAGGTTTCACGAACTTTATGTGAAATTGATACGTGATCGTCAAAAACTCGAATTTCAAGACACGAATTGTAAAGCTTAACGAGCATGCCCATAGAACGATCTTGAATTTGGCTTGTGGAAAGGTAACAAAAAGTAGGTTTTGCTATTTCATCAAACATATAGTACAAGGCAGGAGTCGTCTCATCGAGGGAGTTTGCGCCAACTTTGAAAATCAATGCGTCTTTTCCCGTTCTGATATCGCGTCCACTCTTTGTATTCACGACGGCTAAAGAATAGATAAAGGAGGGGATGATATAAGCTGGGTATTACGCCACCTCCATCAACCGCATTACGATAGACCCGTATATACAACCAATACCTTCGAGCAGAATTTGGTACAGTCAAAAGGTTTGTGCGTGTTATGAGGCGCCCACGCTGTTTGCTTCAATTCCGTGAGACAATACAGGAAGGGATTTAAGTTCAACATCACACAGTCAACAAAGAATGTGTCAAGTATGATAAAATTAACATTTGTTTATATGTTATATTTATTCAAAAATGTCTATTAATATGGCAGATTATAAATGGCAGTCTTTATCCTAACGATCCTTTACACGATATCCTTCACAAGCCTCTCCGGAGCCAACCCATCATATGCTATGCGATAAATCGTTGTAAATAGTGGAAACCTATTAAATGATACGAAATCAGCATTAAGCATCCAAATGTTATTGTTTTTCCTCCTCTCTAGATGTAACTTGACTTACTCGTTCTCCAAGTTTTCCCTCTTTATTACTTGGTAAATCTCCTTGGCTGTCAACGTCCCCTGTAATTTCTGTCCATTAAGAAGCTCGCTCTCGAGTTCTTCGAATGACTAAAAAAGAAAATTTAACTTCGATAAGCAAAAAACGATTCCAAATATTGTAAAAAAAAATAATAGTGACTTTTTGCTTTAACCTTTTTACTAAGGACAAATGCTTCGGCAACTTTTCTATTCCTTCCTCCATAACAAGAAGTGATTACGTCGGCTATGCCACAACTCTGGAAGAACGTCTCATCTCTTATTCCAGAATAAAAGGTTTGTATAAACTTTTTCATTTCCAGCAACCCAATCCGTATAATAGCAGCTTTGGTATTATCGCCCATCTTCAACCCATCAACCATGCCGGCTCCGACAGCGACTACATTCTTCAAAGCACCGCATAATTCGACGCCAACTACATCATCGACTATTCCGACGCGAAAGTATTTTGTCTCAAACAAGATTTTGAATAGTTCTCCGTCTTTCACATTTTTATAACCGATGGTCGTCTCCGAAAATTTCTCTTCTGCAATTTCATGAGCAATATTGGCTCCGCTAAGTGAAGATACGTTGATGTTCAGGTATTCGGAAATTACATGAGTAATAGGCTTAAGTCCCGATTCTGATGCATGGAAACCCTTGATCAGAGAGATTGCTTTGACATCGGATGAGATCTTTCCTTTCAACTGTTCGCAGACTTTCAAGACAAACTATAATAACGTTTGATATATGTTTGATCAATGCGTGTTCGTGTGTTTGTGTACTGTGTGTGTAGTGTGTGTAGTGTGTAGTGTGTGTACATTTGTGTGTATACATATGTGTATACGTATGTCATACCTGATGAGGAACAACAAACACTAAAATCGTTGCTCCTTGTACAGTTTCGATCAAATCAGGTATCGCTCTAACATTATCTGGTATCTTATACCCCGGAAGATATTTAACATTCTCATGCTTTTCGTTTATTAATTCCGTAAGCTTGCGGTTGTTAACGATTTCCTCAAAAACCCACATTCTGATGTCTCTTTCAAACAGATTGCCATGTTCACGGACATTGTTGGCCATGATTCTAGTAATAGCCGAACCCCTTGAATAATGTATTGGTATGTTAGTAGAGACGTATACCGAAAGCGTGCTTGAAAAAACCAAGATATCTATCACTCACCAGTTGCCTGATCCAATTACCGCGACTCGTTCTTTCTTCATGGTTATATTTCTATAGAAATGAGAATATCGACACGGTTGTAATATAGATAGGTTCGGTGATATGATGTTGACGCTTGAACGCAGCCTATTTATCATCCCGCCAACATATATATATAATGAGGCAATAAGGCCCTGCGGTAGGTCTTTTAGCCATTTGCCGTTGAAGTCATCTTTAGCGTTATGCAAAAAAAGGGCATTGTTGCATTATTATGCCGTAAGCATGCAACAAGGTACACAAAAAGGGCAAACCTATCATTTAAACCAGTTTTGGTGGGAACGATAAACCCGAGCACGGTGATGCTAATTTTCACATGAGTTTGCCTAGCCCGTGCAGTCGGGGATGCCCGTTAATTGGCCAAATGTTACAATCACATAACATACGCAATGGTGTCATGAATAAAGAAACGCAGACCGAACTACAAAGCAATTATATTGTTTAATAATCAGATCGCGCATTCACACTTGTTAATTAAATAAATATACGGAATCAATAAAAGTCTATATAAAAAGTTCGTTTTTTTTTCTTCTTTCCTATGAACATACACCTCTTCGTACTATTCCTCTACCACTATCTCATAGTTTTCTCTGCGAACAGGCAGATCAGGCAAATCTCCCCCATTATCAAGCTGTATATCAGGCAATAGGACTTCCTCATCTGAAAGATCGTGTACATGATAATCAAAGTAATGCTCACTCCCTCCATCATTTAAATAAATACTACTATTATTCGAAGTAGTAAATCCACTTCGACTTCCAGTCGTTCTTGAATCATCGTCAGTCTGAACAGCAGAATCAGTTACTGATTCAGAGTCATAGCACGATGAATTGCTGTAGGAAGTACTCAAATATGACGAATTTGTAAATGACTTGGGATGACTATCAGTCTCCTCTCGATCACTGGCTACTGGACTACTTGGTTGAAAACCCGAAATAGGATAGTTGTTTATATATGCTGGAGGCACCGACATGCTGCGACGATGGAAATTGGAATTCTGGCTGTCAGATCTACCAGAGAGAGTTTCCAAATCATTCTGTTCTCTCACAGTCCTATGCCGATAGTTTTCGAATACTTGATCTATATAGTAGATAAAGTGAAATATTAGGTCCTATAGACGAATGAATATTAAATTCCCATAGTTCTCTACTTACCTAAACCCAAAGCAAGCGAATGACGAGCGCCAACCGAATTGAGAGCTTGACCAACCGATGAGGCGCCACTCTGCATTAAAGCTCTTATTAAACTATCGTGCCTTAAAGACCCGCGGCTATTAAGTAGAGGAGTTGTAACGTCAACATTAGGCTCGTGTAAAGTGTGTCTCCTCGGAATCGCGGTGATCGCTGATCGTTCTCCAAATGGATATTCATCGTCTGAATCGTCCGTTTCATTAGGGGGATCATATACGACTCCCACAGGAAAAACTGGTCTGAAAGCGATACCACTGTTTACACGCGGAACTCTAGATCGTAGACTATTTGCTCGAGAACGACGGACATATTGTGGAGGCTTGTCACGATTGGAAGTGATAAAGTATACGCCAATAAAGGTCAGGCAACAACCCGCTAAAAAGCATGTAAGCTGCCAGGTATCAGCATTGGCAAAATCATTATATAGAACCGAACTACCGATAATGGTCGATACAGTAAACAGGACAAACTGCGTAGGAATAACTTGCTGAAATAAAAGACGTATAAACGGTCATTAAATGTGAACGCTAAGTTGAACATATATCAAACACGAGATTTTCAGTCACTCACTGTCGAATCGAATCTTTGTAGAGACTTGTTTAAGTATTTGATCTGGAGTACTGCTGTTATTACAAGAGTAAATAGCATCACATACGTGATCGTCCATTCGAACATTTTTACAAATGCAACGGTCAACAAAGACGAGATAGCCTTTGTAGCCAATACAGTATAGCCGCCTATTTTCGGATAACAAAGAAATTAGGATGCGCATATGTATGCAAGCATAAGCCTATTGATAAAAAATACTGCTTACCAAAAATAGCTACTAAGGATAAATCGATCAAGATAATTTTATGTCCCCAGTGATTTGAAGCATGTGCCAATAGACAAACCGTAATCATTGTAATAAAGAAGTAAACAATAAACTGTGTTTGCAACAATGCTGCTTCAATAGCCTCTGGCGTCAACTAAAATCGAACGAGAAAAGCATTATTGATATGAAAGGATGACGTTTCCGAGTGTTACGTAAACTCGCACTTTTTAAAATTTTTTTTTTACCTTGACTTCATCAGTCTTGGAATTGGCGACTACGATTACTGCACCGACTATTGCAATTGTAATGCCCAGTACGTCCTGCTTGCGAAACGTTTCATGAAGCATTATGGGGGCAAGAATGACATTTGAAATCAGAGCAACGGTGCCCAACGGAGCTACCACGGATGCGGGCGCAAATGCATATGCTATGAAATTACCAATCTCCCCTGAAATGCAAGAGATGATATCGCAAGATTAACACATATTAGCAAGTGACGCGCTTTTTGACACGCACATACACAGCAACGGGTTGAATATCACTCGTAAACCTACCAACAACCATCAGCAGCATACCCAACCACCACGACTTTGAATGCAAGTACAAGTAATCATTTCTTTCCAGTTCCTCGGGATCTAAGAGTACTTGGTAGCCACCAGAATCTTGGGGATGCACAGAGTCTCTCTGTGAACGATAAAATGCTTTGTCGAGACGACGTTTTTCGATCTCGTTGTGAGTTAGTTTTTGCACGTTTAGCGCGAGTGAGATCAGAATCTAGAGACAAGGGAAAAGAAGAAAGGTATGCTATGTAAGAGTCTGTACGGATGGTATGCATGTATAGAACGGTTTGCAAGATTTTTGTTGGTAACTTGGATCTGTACAGGGGAGGGGATGCAGAAGAAAAAAGAAAAGACGTACGTTCCCAAGTACAGCAAAAATTACACCAATGAAGGACTTGACTTCATCTAGGTCGTCGATAGGAGCCCACATTTCGCTCTACCTCCGTTCTACAACTTGGCATTTGGCGTCAAGCTGTCAAACTCGCCAAATGAAAGTGAAACAAGAGATGGAAAGTACAGGGCTATCCGAGCTCCCGCGTAAAAACCTTAGTTGACCAAGTTGGGGTTGCGATAAGGATATGGGTATATGGGTTCGACTATTCTGATAGATAAGAATTCCCCCTGTATTACCTTTCATTACAGCAAATCGCGTCGGATATGCAGGGAGATGTATGATATCAGCACATGTTGTTAATAAATGAAAATTCCAACACTGTAATTAAGTTGGATATAACATTCTGACTTTTTTGTTTTTCACCTCTTGTGCTTTAATGTTTAACTTAAAAATTCTTGCAACTTTGTGTCTATAGTCTAAACGTTGAATGTTAGTGTATAATTTTATTTAAGTGTCCATCTGCAAATGTCTTGTTTATTTTTCTAAATTGTATATTTAATATGCCGGAACGCTCCCCCTTCTGTTATTTCTATTACCGTCGCAAACAAAAAAAAAATTCTTAATATTTTCGGCAACCCCGTATAAACGATTAGCCGACGATTACATAAAGATTGAAATGGCATCTTACGGGTCACATAACAGCTCTACTACTATAGATTCTTCGCGTCGCGTTTCTCGAAACCCACCCATTAATTCCGCAAAAAGAATTGCGTCAAAAGTCAACCGGACTAAATTACCAAATTGGAACCACGAAGAGCGTGAACATCATGAGCATTTAATATTGGGCGATCATAAAATGGAAAGATGCACAATTTAAAGAGCAATTTACGTTAACAGCCAATTCGTTCAAGATTATTCTCTAATTCCTAATCAGCAGCTATTTGTAGGCATTGTCAACTGTACTGTCTCTGTTTCTGCGTATATACTAATACCCATTCCTGCCATACTAATTAATACTGTTCAACCAATTACACATCTATTTCGAAGAATCTAGAAATGGTAAGTGAATTGAAAAGTTCGAAATTCTGTTGTAAGCCAAAAAACGACAAGACCGTATGGAACGGAAAGACAAAGGACGACCAACAAACATACTTTCGAAACAAATTTTTTTCGTCTGTTCAAGAATCGGCGTAATTTCTTTATCTGTGTACAGTAGTACATGTGTGGAGTAAATTCGTATTGATATACAGACGACCTTTCCTAAATTGCGCGTACAATGGGATTTTGGGATTGTCAACAATATTTGTTCTCTACGCGGTAATATGTATGCAGCCGCAGGATAATTACATAGATTTCTACCAATTCTTTGCTCACGGATCACCCGGAATGTAAGACCACGTGCCCGCACTGAATGTCTGGGAATATCACTTTCTGTGAAGGTTACGCTCTTGTTATTAGGCACACGTTGTAATCTGAGTTTGGGACTGTCTCAGTCACTCAGTCCAGAGGAGACAGGTCCCCAATTGAGGTACAAAAGGCACTCCAAAGATTGCAGTTTACTTTACAGGCAGGAATGAACTATACAGCCAACATAGTCATCTACTGAAGCTTCATCTCTATCATGATGCTTATATCACATCAAATACATACATTTTACCAGCTGTTTAAATGCGAGTACAGTCTACGTTTGGTGAGTAGTCCTAAATCAGAGACCGAATAGTGTCAAGCTGGGGGCGATGGTGGAGGCCATCTTTAGCGTTGGTCGCACCAACTTTGTGCAACTAAACTAAACATTCTCGGATTTCGTAATGGACGTCTACAACAATACAATAGTAATAACAATAATGGTGATTAGTGACAATAGCGACGATTTTATTTATTGATATACCTTTATCCAACAAACGCAATATGCATGAAAATAACAGCGCCAAATAGAATATTCAGGCGATTTTACAGGACACTCAAGATAACCGTATTACATAATTCCATCATAATCGGTTCAATTCGTAATTTTTAACTAAACGGAAGAAACCACTTCTTTATCATGGCGGGAAAAAAGTGATGAATTATTTTAATACTCCCGGATTCCTAGTAACAAGACCCGCTTCCATTAAGCACATATAATTATAATACGTAGGACTTGTATCCACCGGACCATGTCTCAAGCGTTGACGAAAATAACTTTGTGATAATGGTTTGGCTGTTTCCTCTAACATATTTGTCCTCTCTTTTTTGAAAGCGCATAAGTATATGAATTGGTGTTGTATTAAAGGAACCATTCCCGCATCGAATTTTTTGAATACTGTACAAAATGTAATCTGAGGAAGGTTGATTGTGGTAGTAACTTATTGATTAGACTGCCATTGCGCTTGCATTCGTTCGTCTTTTCTTCATTTTGGGATATCGTAAAATAAACTTGCATCTGAAAACTCTTTGTTTAAAATCTCGTCAGTACGTGTAATAGTATCAAGGTTTGCTTTTCCATCGAACCAAACAATTCAGCTAAATACTTCAAGTTTTGCTTAAAGATCGTTCGCTGGGCACGAACACATGACTATGACAAATTCGCACAAATAAATCGCGTTCAATTTTAATAAACAATTTTGCGTTTATAAAAACATGGCTTAAAATCCTGTCTTGCTTTTATATATCAAACGTCTTTATACCGATACGAGTGGCACCAGTCATTTTTATCGGTATAGTCAGAGGTTAAATAATTGTGTCTATTTTGAAGTAAAAATCTTTATTTCATTAATCAACCAGCTCTTGTAAACCATCCGTATTAATTAAAAACAATTGAGGTAATGCTTTCAATCTCCCTTAACAGATATAAATACTGAGATAACTTTTCCGTTTGTAAGTTTTGGATTTGCCTTTCTAACTGGGTAATATATCTATTGTCACGTTTAGCGGTTGCAGGAAAAATCACACTAGTTAGCAGTTCCGAAGATGTATCGTGGAACCAAATAATGCATTTCCCCGAAAAACTTTGCACATTCAACTAATATTTTATCTATAAACGTTCAAATTTAATATCAAAAAAATAAAAAATGCATAAGAAGAGCCCTGGCCAAGCAAAACGCTAAAGAAAATTGGATGAATTGGTTCCCTCGCTTGACTCTTAGGACTAATCGTGGCGGGTGATGAAAATAATTAAGAGAATTTTTCTTTAATAACAAATTCTGAGTAATAAACTCGGACCGGAAAAATTACGTCGAGTTGAGCAGTGCATTCGCAACAATAATTCTCTATCATTATTATCTAAAGATGGAAGACACATATTATTAATTCAAAATAACACATTTCCGTCTAATTTTGAAAACGTGCCCGGCTGAGATGTAAAGATAGCATTAGTACTTTTTAGTTCAAAAATAAACACATTTCCGCATAATTTTGAAAGCATGCCTGGCTGAAATGTTAAATATTAATACAGTATATGCGGCATGCTGCAACAAAACCAGACAAAGTGAATATTCTGTTTTGTGACATAAATGAGAGGCTGATTATAATGTGGCTGTAAAATTGACCAGTGTGACGGACGACGTTTTGAAAAGTAATAATGGTGCTCATTCGTAACTTATGGACTTGTTGATTTTAATGTTCTCTTTATTATACCAAAATGTGGTGAATATAAACCATAACAGAATTAATATAGTATTATCTCTTATATAAAAATATTAATATGAAACTAATTTACATTAAATCGACCATGGAACCAAGAATTACAATACTATCAGAAGCAATCTCAAGGACAAAATTGCTTCTAAAATGAATGATACCCAAACCCTCCAACAATATCTTGATCAAGAAAAAATCACTTATGAGATTTACCAGAAGAACAAAAAATAATAAGTATTAAACAAACCTTAACAACAACTTACGATGAACCAATAAAGAAACGAAAACTTGAAGAAATAGAAAGGTAAAGGGAAGCAGTTTAACGTAAAATTCGTCAACGAAAGATTGTTCCGTATGGTCTTGATAAAGAACTGCTTAAGCACATCCGTTGAGCTTTGACATAATTGCGATTAACAACGTAAATTTTTCGTAAGCATAAATTTTATTATCTCAATTATTGAATGCACGCTCCTGAAATATAAATAATAGCGATTGCATGGGAGGAAAATACTCGGACCCAAAGCTATTATATATTAATGAGTATAAACTATTCTTTGGTCACTCTGGCGCAAATCTAAAATTTTCTGCCATTGCTATTATCAATAATGAAATCACTATCATCTATGCCTTGGATTTCATTTTCGTCATCTTTCGTTGTTTACACTTTTCTTCTTTTCCTCCTCAATCCAACATTGAATCGCCATAATATGATAATGGAGTTCTCCCAATATGTGAGAAATGTGATAGATTAATGAGAAACAAGAGTTTTTGTTGTCATAAGAAAAAAAAAGCAAATCGATCTTTTACTGAAAGTGAATTAGTTTCTCAATCTTTCAGTTTTTGTTTAGAAAAGAAAACTAGAGGACTAGAAAAGGAACTATCAGCCACAAAAAAAAATTGAGTATTGAGAGAGAAGAAGTTGCCAAGGTTTACGAAAAGTCAAAAAAATGAGGTGATGAAAAAATAAAGAGAATTAAGGAATTAGAAACTGAAATGGCTAGACTAACTCAAAAGAATAAACAATTAAAAAGAGCAACAAAGCAATCAATTAGTTGCTCAAATTGAAGTTAAAGAACCCAAGAGATGACCTTGATTGAAAGTAAAAAGTAATTAGAAATTAAAAGTGTTGAATAAAAGTTAAATTGTTTATTTTAAAGTTTTCTTTTTTTGATTGATTTTTGATTAAAACTGTCTAACACTTTTGAAAACTCTTTCCTCTTGGTAAACTTTATAGGTAATTCTTTCTGCATTTAAATATGCTTGCAAAGTCTTGGTTCTGTTAGTTTAAAAATGTAAGGTGCAAGTTTTTCACCTTGTTTTTTTTTTAAAATGCTTCTGATTGTGCTATAATTTTTTGGTTCATGGCGGATTTGATGTAAATTATTTTCATATATTTATTTTTTATATGGACATAATTCTATAGTGATTTAAATGTAATAAAATTTTTATTTAATTTTAATATTAGTACATTTGCCGTAACATACTGATCTCGTATTCAATAGGCAAACATTTTGAGCCGAACGGCAACTTGTACAAAATAGCTTTCAGATCTTTGCGAATGCCCCTAACCATATTGAGAAGATGTCACATTTAAGAGGATATCTTCAGATAAAATTCCAGATATAACTATACACAAACTCCTAAAATAATCGTCTAAGATTATTGATAAGCATTTGCGGGATCGAGAATTCGTGGTTTTCGATTTTACTAAGGCAACTGATGAATCCTCTCGCAGTTGGGATATGCCCTGAAATTGGATAAGTAGAACTGAGTTTATTAATTCTCTGCGGAAAAAAAGGATTTTATGTTCATGACCGCATACATTAAAACTTGGTAAATTATCCTTTTCAGCCCGAATTCTTTATTGACACAACAAAAATAGATATCTGATGATTGATTTGTCGCTGAAAGCAGTTACAAAATAATAAAATTCCCTTTTTGCGAAAAATATAACAAATCACATCTTAATCTAATTTCATTTTACTCTGCAGCGTTATCCGGTATTGCCATCCAATTGCATACACAGTTAGGACCTTATCGTTGATTGCATCTTCCATGCCTATTTTCCCTTTCAAAAACTGTCGATCCGTAAGGTGTGTCTATAAAAGTAAAATAAGTAAGATAAAATAGTAATGAAATGCATTGTATGCCTTGTAAAGAAATACCTCCAAATAAACGCCTATCTTTGCAATTTTAGCTAGAAACCATCGGTCCGTATATGACGTTGGGATTTTACACTTAAATATTTCGTATATCCTATACGTTTTCATACAAATAAGGTCCGTGAGGTAAATTGCTATGAAATATTCTAGAAGTATAAAAGCTAGGTAAGTTTTACTACAAAATGGGGGCCCATTCATACAAAAAAAGGAAAACACCTACTGTAACCATGGATGCCGACGGATTTGAATTTTTTCGCTGTTGTTATGGACGATTTTTCGTATTGTAAGAAGTGATAATTTAAATCATCCACTCCGTTACGTGCTAGTTTCGTTATATCTTCCATATGATGTGTTGTGTCAAATCTTCGTGGGTCGAAAGGACTGTTAATATATAATTGTAGCGTTATTGTCCTGATATAAGACAGCATCGTTCTTGTCGCCTCTCCTTGAATTTGACGGTTTTTGATCAGCATTTAAGTTATAAAACTCTATCTTTGTGTGCCTCATTCCACTAAATCAAAATTTATCATAAAAGAAAGGCTTACAAGGCAATTCCTGATGTCAAATTTCCAAAAAACATCGAAAATAAATCAAGAATTCGATAGACCGTTTGGTTGGACCATGTTTTTTCGTCGCCATTTATTTGCAAACCACCATAGTAATAGTAAAATAGAAAATGTCGACAGACTTCTCTCGTCCATAACATCAATGGCCGTGCATCCCCGTCAAGTGGTTTTTTCTACTTCCGACAATGCATTCTTAATATCTCCGTTGAGCAAACAGTGAAGATATTCCTTGATATCTTTAGGAAGTTCAATTTCAACAGTGTTTTCAGCTATCATCTCGAACCGATCCTCCGCATCCATTTGCGACAATTTTCTAAATGGTTCACATAGCACATACACCCCCCTGCCAAAAGTATCATTAATGATAGTAATAGCATAAAAGGTAATAAAATTTAAACTTTGCACCAGAGTGACCAAAGAATAGGTTATACTCATCAATGGCTTTGGTCCGAGTATTTTCCTCTCATGCAACCACTCTGTGCTTTTACGTTATTTATATTTCAAGAGCGCGCATTCAATAAAATTCATGCTTACGAAAAAATTGAATTATTTTTACATGTCAATTTAAATTGTGTTGAGAAAGCAAAATGCGAATTCAAACAAGGCTCAACGAATACCCTTAGACAATTCTTTATCAAAGAATATCGCAATATTAAGTGAAGACAAAATTGATGTCTGATGTGACTCAAAAATAATCACGACATCTTACTTATCAGCCACATCAGCCTCTTTTATCTCACATGATCAAATGTCTGGTTTTGTCCCGAATACTGTCAACATATTAACGATTTAAACGAGTACTTGGTTGAAGAATGTCCAAGTTCCGTGTTGCCTAATTTTGTTTATCAATGAAGCACGGTTGTCAAATGATAATAGATTATTAATGTGTATATCAATAAAATCTTTACTTTCAGGCTTTTGAAAAGCTATTAAGGACGTCAAGTTTTTTGTTACACTGTTCGCGATGCGTATATCGAAATACAGCATAGATCGAATTAAAAAGGTTAGATAGATAGTCAATTTTCTTTGTTGCTCTTCTATTTTCCCAAGCCACATTCTCGTAAACTTGTTTATTAGGTCTTCCACAATCAAGAAGAGAGGGGGTGGGGTTTATAATCAGCGTGTAACACAATGCGAAACTGATAGTCGATACATCGTTTGTTCTCTGATACGAACATAAACATGGTGACTTTTGCTATTATATGCGCTAGCAATCAGAACCGTAGTATGGAAGCTCACTATACCCTATCGTATGTTTGGAAATGAATGTTTTTTGGTATCCATTGTACTCCTAATGTTTAATGAAGAAATTTATTTTTCACGGTGGTCAGTAAAAAGGGCTTTAAAGTTGCTTCATTTGGTACTGGCTCAGCAGTCCGTCTACCAGGACAAAGTATAGATAAACCCAACATATATCCGTTTGGAACACCGTACGATCACATCTACCAAGATCTACAGAAGAAAGACTTTAGACTGTAAGTTCAAAGTTAATAAGCACACGATCAATCATCAGAATTTGAGTGCCTTATCTCTTTGTAGTTATTCTCAAAATGGTCTATTGGATATGTTAGATCGGAACAGAAAAATCAAACGGGCGCCCGAACGGTGGCAGGAAACGACCGGATTCTACGATATAATCATAACATGTGAAGAGCGGTGCTTTGACGCTGTATGTGAAGGTAATTGTTGTAAATACACGAGTTGGCTTGGAATATCAAATCTTTTACGGATAGTATTTCTCAACTTGTAACGAATACTCGAGTAGATTTAATAGGAAGGGGAGAAGAGCGTAATTTACCGGTTCACATCATCAACGTAGAAATCAAGGATAATCACGAGGATGCAATGCTCGGGGGTAAAGCAATATTACAACTTGCTGAAATGGTGAGTATGTTGCACAAGTAATTGTTCGCCAGGTCTTATGCAAGGCTCGGTCTATACGAACAATGGCTGATGTTATATTAAGATACGTTCTTCTTTCTTTTGTCACTCTTAGGTTGAGAAAGCTTCTAATGTAGATCAAGACATGCAAACGATTCTTGAGAAGTGGAAAGAAAAGTCAAAGTATAGTTATCTCCATTGCGTAGCGTATTTCTAATCGCATATTAGCTTAATCACACAACCACAGAATCCGCCAGAAACTGTTTTTTATTAAATATTCAAAATGAACGACATCAAGTCCCGTACTGAGGACGATAGAATGATGGACCGAGATTCTCTAATATGCCTGTATAGGGTCTCTCCACTACCACCATCTCTTTCTCTCCAATAAATTCGACAAACATTATTCCCTGATAATGATGGCTCAACCTATAATTCTCATTCGCACTTACAGCATTTGCTTCTCTCTTTCTCTTCTTCACCGTAATATCCAGATTGCTCTCATCTATCTCCAATTGCATGTCTATAGAACACAGATATCCGCTTCCCCATAGTACGATATGGTTACTGTTCTCCGGATTAAATGCGCATCCCATGATCTTATCCTGTATTCGGGCAAATCGCGCTGGCATCACGTTGGCATATTTCTCTGACCATCGAGTAAGTGCATTCGTAGAAACATCGTAAACATAGAATTGATTATTGGCAAATGTAATAACAAGTGTCGATGAGTACGGATTAAATGTGAGACTAGTATGCAGACAGCTGACAGGTGTCAATTGAGGAAGAGTCATGTGGCGTTGAAAAGGATCAAGAGAGTAAATGTTTATTTGTTTGGCCATATCGTCCGCTACGGCCAACCACTTGCTGTCACCACTTGTTGATATAGAACTAATAGACAATTGGCTTGGCGATGCGTATTCCGTGAACCTGGCAAGTTCGGGGAACACATCGTCAACCCACATTGTCAAGTCGCTTATAATGATAACAGAATTGGATGCAACAGTAATTAATCGACCATTATCTGGTGTGAATAATACTCTGTGCGCTCCGGTTGAACTTTTGCCATCTAATATCATCTCTTGTAAAAATGACTTCATTTTCTTTGGTCTTTTTAAATGTCCTGGACGTTGCATATCTTCACCCATTCTGTATAATCCAACACTGTCTATCGACGCGACAGCGATCCAGTTTGCATCTTCCGATATGGCACAAGAAACAACATTCTGTTTACTTTTTGTGACCAGTTTCATTGTTAAACTCTTATTCTCGGCCAAAGACAATCTCACAGAGGATGGATTTTGTGGAGAGACGTCATACTCTTTGGGATATGCATATTTCCCTAATTTCCATATTAGCACCTCACCATTATCGAATGGACAGACCAATAGTCTCTTTGATTTGGAAATTGAAATCATTGGCTTTTGCGGAAAATGCTGCAGTCTTCTATGAGTAACGTTTGGATAATTAACGATAGGACATACAACTATTGCAGGATCTGTTCCGCCCGACACCAACACTTCCTGTTCTTTACCATCTCCAATCAATATCATGTTTCTAACATCATGAGAATGGTAACCTTTTTTCCCCGTTTCTATCCATATGTTGCCCGCATTCTCCAAGTCGTCTACTTTGCAGAATTTAACCGTCTTCCTATCAACTCCTGATGTGTACACTTCGGTACCATCTCTATTGGAGGCTATACATAAAACGCTAGCAAGATGGGATTTGTTGAAAGTCTGAAGCATGTTACACTGTTCACCATCCCAGAACTTGACATGACCAAGAGCATCACCAGAAACTATGGTGTTATCAGGAAGCGTAATTACACTTGTCACTGGAGTAGATGATTTTCGTCGCGTTTCCACAGTCATTGTTGATATTGTTCTTCCACTTATACTATCCCATTTCTTGATAGCACCATCCGACGAGCCCGTTATTATATATTTGTCATCATGAGTCCATGCAATTGATAATACTTGAGATGGCTTTCCCGGTTTAAGAGTTTTGTACAAATCGGGCAATTTAGGATTAGTTATATTGAATATTCGAGCTGCTCCATCAGTTGAACCAAGAGCTATGAAAGTATTGGCGTGGTTCACTGACATACAAGTAATCGATCCACCAGATACGCGTGTCAATACTTTTGGCTTGAGTGAGATTGTATCCCATTCAACCAAAAGTCCGTTCGAGCCAGCGGAGAATAAGCGTGGAAACATTTTATCCGAATGCTGATTGACCCATACAACAGCGTTGACATCACGTCCCTCCCCACCAGGTATTATCCTCAATAAGTTCCAATTATTTCGTGTTGTCCATATCTCGATATTTCCATTCGATCGACCGCATGCCACTAATCCCAGTGTAGGAGTCTCAGTATGTGATAACGAATTAATTTGTGCAGGCTGATATTCTATAAACCGACATCTGTGAACATTTACTTCCATAATGTTACGATAAAAGTAAAAGTTTTCTGACTGGGTGTACAAATAACTAGATTTCGTTTTTCAATCGTAGGATTGTGTCTTTAAAACTTTTCGAGTACTTTTCTATTTTCTACGATTTGGTCAAAATACATAGGCAGACTCGATAAGTCGGTCCCTCGATAAGTCGGTTTTGGCCTAACTCGGTCAAAAAAATTAAGCCCTTTTTTTCAATATTTAAAATCTCGATAAGCTGCAAGTCGGTCAACCTCTATTAATATGTAAATTAAACTACCCCATCAAAAAATTTACGGACACATGACTGCAGTGGGTGAAATTATGGAAGCAAAATTTAATTTTCACTAAATTTATGTTAATATTAAACTCATATATAAATAATCACGTGTCCGTAAATTTTTGATGGCGATGCTGGGAAAAATTGTCGATAAGTCGGTATCACGTGATATTTAGAGAACATCATTACTATTTCAGTACAGTCGATCATATAAAAAATTTTTTTATTCGTGCACTTTTTATGTTAACGTTAATAAAAAAATTCTGGAAAGCGGTTTATATTACAGAACGCCATGGAATAATCTGAAAGTCACGTGCCGTTTAAGAAATTCTTCTATAGTCGTAATAGTGATACTATTTTCACTAGTTTTTAGTTTCAAAAATTCTAGTTTTTAGTTTCAAAAATTCTTTAGCAGATAACATATCTTGAGGGATTTATTCAACAAAGGGATCTTCTTAGATTAAACAAATCTATTCTTTTGCATGTGCAATTTCACCAAATACTTTCATTTCTTCACTTAGCATCCATTCTCCGCTTATATTTTGAAAACACGATCATCAGTATTCGCCATATGTTTCGTTTTCGGAATATCTAAAAAGGTTAGTAAATGATCTCCCAATGCCGTTATATAGAAAACTAACAATTTCAGCGTTTTGTTGATTCTTCCATTATCGATCGCAATCATGGGACCGCTGAAGGTTTAGAATGTGAAGTTACAATGTCTTTCTCCAATCAACTTGTCAATTACAGGCCTTAATGCAATCGTTATTCTTCGT